AACCCCTCCCTCCAAGGATCCCAGCTGCCCGGTTAACCATGGACCCTTAACTCTGCCCTCTTCTCTTCTCTGCTCTGAGGTTGGGTTTGATTCCTGTCCCATCCCACCTCCTACTTACTCCCATCTTTCCTCAGCCCAGAGGTTCTGGGGGGATCAATTCTGGGGCCCAGTAGGGCCAGAGTCCAGCAGCCCTAAATCCAGGTCTTAAACTCTGCTGGACTCATCAATCTGAAGTGGGCTCCGCTCTGGGGCTCCATTATTTGCCTTGAGTGCCTGCCCCACCCTCACCACAGCCCAGTGTCAGTACTGCTCACCCCGACAAGGTGGCCCAGGGTGACAGACAGGCCAATGGACAGGGCTGGGGAGCCCACAGGGCTGGTGCGACGGGAGTCAGTGGAGGCGAAGATGCAGAGTGCCAGCTGGAAGGTCAGAATCAGCTCCACCACCATGGCCTGGCCCTGCGTTGTGTTGTTGTTGAGCTGCAAGGGGATGGCGGGTTAGGACCCTGGCCACCTTCTGGCAGTATAGCCAGGGGCTCTGGGAGCAGGGCTTTTGGCATTCAGGGACACTTAGAGCAGCTTGACACCTGGAAGCCAAGCCCCGTGGACATCACCCCAGCGAAATCATTTGTTAAAGACACTACATTTCACAGTTTGCACAGGCTTGAAGCTCAGGCCTGTAGCCAAAGGGCAGAGTGTCAGGGGAGCTTTTCCTGGACATGGTCCTATCAATGGCTCTGCCCAACCCCCAGCCCCCATAAGCTGGCATTTACCCTCCATGCTGTGGGCAGCTGCCCAGTTTGCCTGCTTCACACCCCATCCCCGCCTCCTGCCCGTGTCTGGCCCCGTGCCAGTGCCAACCTTAAACCCGTCTCTCCAGTGCGGCTGACTCACGGCTTGACAATGGCCAAGCAAATCCTTCTCTGTGTTTGATTAATGAACCCAGTTTGCATGGGGTTGGGGGCTGACTCTGGGGCTGCAGGAGATGGGAGGGAGGCAGGGATGTGGGGTTGCGGGGAGGAGCACAGGTTGGGGAAAGCGGAAACCAATACTCAACGGAGACTGCTCTGCACTGGCACCACGTTAGGGGGTTCCTATCTATGGTTTCTAAATGTGAGCCCCTTGACACCTGCTGTGGCAGGCACTACCATCCCCATGGAGGGGCTGAGAACAATGAAGCACAGACAGGCCAGGGTCACCCAAAGCCGGGATGACAGCCCGCTTCTCTCTGGTGGTTCTACTCAAACGCTCCCCTGAGGAGATGGGAGAGGTGAAGGGCCCAGGAGGAAGGTGGGGCTCAAAGGTGAGACAGGAGGCGGCAGAAGTTTCTGGCAGGAAAGGAGGGGCAGCAGGCATTGGAGAGAGACCAGGGTGGGCCAGCATGTGGTGGGGGGCAGAGGAGGTGGACAGGAAGGGGGCGCACATCAGCCTGGAGAGTCGCCTTCCTGGCCTCTGGAGGCTCTTGCCTTCCTGGTGAAGGGTGTGGGCTGGACCACTCTATGACACCCCTTTTTCCAGGTGAGGTAAGAGGCCTGGTCCTGAGCCCACCCCAGGGTCGCGACTCCCATCCCCCCAGGGCACTCACCGCGTTGATGGCCAGATTGCCCCGGGCATTGAGCGGTGCCACACCGTAGAGAATGCCGGCCCCGGCAATGGCGCCCACCAGCTGGGCCGCCACGTAGAAGAAAGCCCGGAGCAGCGAGATCTGGTTGCCCACCAAGAGGGCCAGGGTGATGGCAGGGTTGATGTGGCCGCCGCTCACGGGTCCCAGGGCCTGGGCCAGCGTGCCTATGGCCAGGCCAAAGGCCAGCGCGATCTGCAGGATGGTGGGCAGCGCCGACGGCCACTTGAGGGCCGAGCCCAGGCCGAAGAAGACGAAGATGAGGGTGGCCAAGAACTCGGCGAACACAGCCTTGAGGAAGGCCACGGAGCACACCTCCTTCTTCATGGTGGCCGCGGGGGCCCGGCGGCGGCGGCCGCGGCGGGGGGCGCCCGTTGGGTCGCAGGCGGCTGACGAGGTGGAGGCGGCGGGGACGGGGGCCTGGCTGGGTGGCGCCGCGCTCTGTCCCGCACCCACTGCGAGGCTGGCGGCCTGGCGCGGGCCCTGCTGGGGCGCGCTATATAGGGGGCGGGGGGCCGGGCACGGGGCCGGCGCGGGGGGGGAGGGGGCGGCTCCCACGCTCAGGGGCCAGCGCTGCGCACGGGTTGGGAGGCTCCCTGCCGCCGCGGGCCCGCCGCTCCCCGCCGCCCAGCGCAACCTCGGCGCGACCCCCGCCCCCCGGGCCGGGCAGCCGCCTGCCCGTCCGGGCCACGTGACCCAGGCGGCGGTGTAGACGGGCCCCGTGTCCCGGACCCCGCGCATGATGCGCCCAGGTTGGCTCCCGCGCTCCTCGGTGCCGTGCGCTCCGGACTCCCTGGGAGACGGGGCTCGGTCCCGGCGCTTAGCTCCTACCTCAGGGCGTCTAGCTCCGCCGGCCTTTACCGCGCTCCGCGCGCGGGCTTCCCCTTTTCTTCTCTTCGGGCTTTTGGTCCAGCTCCTCCTTTTCCTCCTGCGACCGGAGCATCCTGACCCGCCTTACCCCCGGCTGGGTCGGAGTGATGCTCGTCCCGCAGGTCGGCGCCGCTCACCTCCCTCACTGCCGGCGGCGGGGGCGGGCGGCCGGGCTGGGTCCTGCAGGGCGGTCCGGCCGGCCGTCGTGGGCCGCTCCCGGCCTGGGCCGGGCGAGCTTCTGGGCTTGGAAGGCTGGCGTTTTGGGAAAAGTGGGCACCGTGCCAGCCTGCCCCGATGCTTTGCAATCCTCGACGCCCGGTAGCTGGGCAGTACCTGCACTAGGCAATGGACCCCTGGAGGCGCCCTCTCCCAGGCCGGGTTCCCCTTGTCGTCTTGACGGGAGGGGGGTGTGAGGCGAGGCCTTGAGACTATGGGAGTGGGAGAGCAGGGAGGGTAGAGGCGCACCACTGACCTCCCAAGCGCGGTCTTGGCGTCTCCCCTCTTCCTGCTAGAAGCCCCTCACCCCGGATCTAAGACTCTCCTTCTCTTCCTCCACGTCCCCTCGGTCTCCTTCAAACCCTCACTTGGTGTTGGTCTCTCTCCCCTCGAAATCTGTTTCTGCCAGTCAGTCTTTGCAAAATCCTGTTTCTCTTTTTGTCTCTGTCTTTAGTCTCTGTTCCTCTACCTCTGCCAGCCTCTTCCTCTCGGTCTCTCTCCGTAGGTCTCTTTCTCATTTCAGTCTCTCTGTTTTCCACCTCTCCCTCTCTCTGTCTCTCTCACACCTTCTCATTTTCTGTTTTTCCTTCCTGCCTTTTGCTGTCTTAGTGTCTCTGTCTCTTTCTCTCTATTCATTTATCTCATCCTGCAGTTTCTGTCTCCTGGCTATTTTCACCTTTCCTCTGCCTCTTAGTTTCTGTGCCTTTTTTTGTTTCTGTCTGTTTCTACCTCATTTTCCATGTCTCTGTCTTACATGTGGTCTTTTTCAGTTTCCCCAAAGTCAAGTTTTTCTACCCCTGGTCTGGGTGACACTTTCTTCCAGTTCCCATCTCCCTTCCCTCTGAGCTTATAGCCCCTCTGTGACCTGCTACCTCCTTCCATACCACCCCCTCCCTCTTCCCACCCACTCCAGGTCGGGCATGTGGGAATGAGGCTGGAGGGCTCTCCAGGGCTTAGAGGAGGGGGAAGACCCCTAGGATCCCGGGAGAGGAGCTGCATTAAAGACCTCCATCCCCATGTGTGTTAGAGAAGCCCTTAGCACAGTGCTTGGCACAGAATAAGGCTTAGTAAAGTCTCCTTACATTGTGACTGTTAATTTTAAAAGCCCCTTGAGGGTTTAGTGTGGTGCTAAGCTTGGGGGAAGGGTCCAGTGGGAGGGTACAGAGGGAGTAGAGAACAGGTGCCTCCCCTGTCAGTCAGGCAGGGCTGAGGGGAGGAGCCTGCAGGAATGCTAAGGACTTGGAAGAGTGGGCTCTGGGCTCCGTGGCAGCTAAGATGCCAAAGAAAACAAGGGCCAAAGAAACCCCGCTATTGTTCCTGCCCAGTTCTGGCATTTCCTGCTGGAGCAGCTCCTCCCCCAAGTCTCTCCTCTTAAGGCCAGAGGTCTGTTTGTCCTTTCTTCCATGAGTCCCAGCGCTCTGTCCCCAGCCAATCATGCCAGTTGTATGCAGGATTTTCTTCTGGGTCTGGGGGTTGGGCTGGACAATGGCCCTGATGACCCCAGAGATCATTGGGGGCCAGGCTCCTTCGCTGCTGAACTTGCCTCCAGTTTGCACCCTTCCACTTGCTTTCTCATCTCTCAAGTGCTCACAAGTGCTCACAAGAGGCTAGGTTACCAGGGGAAGCTCCAACCTGAAGATTTGAGCTAATGAAGGACTGTAAAGGCCAAGACCTTGTTCTTGCCATTTTAGAGATTCAGAATATGATCTACAAAGTTAGAGATTATAATTGGCCTCCACTGTGTGATTTCATTCCAAGCTACCCATGAAGAAACCCAGACTCAGAGGTCACTTGCCTAGGGTCACACAGTGACCTGAGATAGGAACTACAGGTCGCCATGCAGACTTGGTCACCAGAAGTGGGCCTGGTGAGGCCAAAGAAGGAGACTTCATCTGTCAAGGTTACTCACATTGGGCAGCTGATTCTGTTTCCCAGGCCTGCGTCTGAGGCCCCTCCATCTCTCTAACCACTAGAGTCCCTCTGTCCCCAAGTCATCACAATAAACTCCTATTATGGCTTGGAATTATCTTTGCTCAAGCACTCAGGCCCTGCCCTGCCACCTCCAGAGGAATGCCCGGGACCTTTCTTAGTTGAGAGATGGGTCTCCCCATTGGTGGCAGGGGGAATTTGAATGTCTCAGGGAGAGCCCTTCCCCTCCTCTCCTGATATGGGGACCTCTGAGTTCCCTGGGAGAACTTGAGGGCTGGGGTAGAAATGGTAGGGAGTTCTGCCTGTCTTCTGGTACCTTGGACTGTATTTGTATTGACCACTGCCACGTTGTGGAAGAACACTACTTATTGGCAAATGAGCATTTATTGAGTGCTTATTATATGCAGAGCAGTTGAAGGAAGGTAGATAGGAGAATGCCATCTAAGAACTGAAAGCAGCCCTGTCCCCAAAGGGCTTACAGTCTAGCTAGGAGGCATCATATATATACAACATCACAGCTTAAAGATACAAAACAACATTGAAGCACCATTTGCAGGTGCAACATCATTTGGCACAAAGTGGGAGCATGGGACAGCTCACAACCTTCTCTGTGCCCAGCTTGGGGACCTGGAGGTCTGTCCACCTGTCTCCACGCTGCCCTGCCTGTATGGTTTGGTGTGAGTGATCCCTGTTCTCTGACTAACCAGGTGCTCTTCAAGGGCAGAAACCAGCCCCACGTTCTTTGTCCTGTCTACCTTGCTGCCCTTGCCAAGGTTCTCTGTCCACTGCAAGACAGTGGGTTGGGCTGGAAAGGTCCAGCCATGTGTTCTGGCTTCTGCAAGGGCCTCCCAGGAGGAGCCTAGGATTTGCCTCAGTGGAAAAATCATGGGATTTTGCGTAAAAAGCTCTGAGTTCAAGTCTTGGCTCCACTATACACTACCTGTGAGACTTTAGACCAGTCTCTTAGCCTTGGTTTCTGAACCTGTAAAATGGGAAGAACAATATTTGCTCTACCTTTGTCACAGGGTTGGGAGATAATCACAGGGGACGATAAGGGGAAGCTTTGGAAATAGCAAAACCCTTTATGGCTGGGGGCCTTTGTCCTTCCCTAACCTATCAGAAGTTTGAGGAAGATTAGATGAACCCTTGCATGCAAGGCACCCAGCACAGCAGCTGGTACACAAGAGATGCCAGGAACTGCCAATTTCCCTTCACTCCTGGAGTTCCATCACTTGGAATCCTTTTTTGACCTCTGACCCCAATGGGCAATAGAAGCTGGAAGTGGTAGGGATTTCACATTTAGTTTTGGGGGAGATGCAATCCAAGAAGTGAAACAGACATAGAGATAAATTCTTGGCTTCTTCTAGAGGAGTTTGTTGGGGTAGGTGGGGTGGGGACGAGGTGCCTGAGACACATCCATGATGGGCTCATAGCTCACTGCCTTGCTGCCTTTGAACCTCTAGAGCAAGGACACTCAGGTGCCAGGAGGACAGCTGTGGAGGTCACTTCGGTTTCTGACCCCCCCACTCTTCTGGTAGTGAGGCCAAGTGGCTGTCACTAGCTATTGGGGGTTTGGGAGAGTCCTCTCCATAGCACCTATGGCCTGGGGCAGCCTTTTTTGGACCTCAAAGAGAGCTTTGGTCAAGGAAGACAGTAAAGAGCATAGATCAGAGGGGACACAATTACAGAGATGTTCCTTATACACTGTCTTTCTTGGATGGAAGCAGAAGGGAGAAAGAGGCTAGAGACTCAGTGCCTGGTGCACAGTGGGTGCTTGGTGCAGTGTGAGCTAGATATAGACAGAAGTCTTGAAGGCATGGAGGCCACAGAGAGCATGAGGGTGGGGGGTTCAAGGTATGACCCACATATTACTTATACAGCAGGCTGGAGAGGGAAGGAGAGAATGGATGGGGCTGGGTGGTGGGAGGAAGGAGGTGGGAGAAAAGATAGGGCACACATGCAGGGTAAGGAGAGGTTAAGAGGCTGGACCAGGATGGGGCCAGCCCCAAACCCATCTCCTTCTGCCTGGATCTTGCAGGCTCCCAGGACTCTCCTTTGCTTTGGCCATCAGTGAAAGGAGGTAAGGGATGTTGAGCATCAAACTCCTTCTGCATCCTTCCCCCAGGAAGCAGAAATAATGAAAATGATTCTAGTAATGCGTGTTAATGGTATTAAGAATTACAGTTTACACAGCATCTTTACATGCGTCATCTCACTTAATCCCGGTTAATCTCATTTGAGAACAGTCATACTGGCCTAGAAATTTAGAAGCCTGGGTTCTAAACTCAGATCTGCCTCTGCCTGGAGAAGTCATTTCCTTTCCCTGGTCCTGAGCGCAACAGGCTGCTCTATCCACAATGACTGTTCAGTGGTAGGAGCCAGAAGCAGGGAATCACAGGCTGTGGAGAGGCAGAGAGAGAAGGAACAGAGGTTCCTGGGGCGGAGGAGCTGCTGCCCGAGGACTGGGGAGAATGAGATGGGTGATGAAGGGGTGTTGCCTGGTGCCCATGGTTGCATGCCTGAGTGCCTTGCCCAGCCAGCCATAGGTGTGTGCTGGGCAAGAGGGCTGACTTGGGAAACTGAGTGTCTCCTTTCAAGAAGTGTCTAGTTGCAAATCTCCCCCTCTCCCAAGACAAAGGCCCGGGTCCCACAAAGGGCTTTTGTTTTCTTTGCCGAAGTGGGAGGCTAATCTCTGGATCTGGGGCACCCCTGGAGACGGGGGTCCTGGGCACACACAGCATACACACACGTGAAGGTGTGCACACTCATATGCCTGCTTCCTCTTTGGAGAGGTTCTCCCTCACCACAGAAAGGAAATCTTTGGTCACCAAAGCGCTGGGGCCCAGCGCTGCAGGTAGGGGACATTTTCCAGGAGAAGCCAGATTGCAGCTGGAAATCAAGGCCCTCCCCTTCAGCCCTCTCAAAGTGGCCTCCTTCCCTTTCCCTGAGGATGACTGGCACCCACACTTATCCACTGCAGAAGTGGATTTATTGCAGGTTGGGGAGGAAGGGGTGCAAGGGGAAGTGAGAATTCCCCAGCCGTGCACACTTGCACCAACGTAGGCAAACCTGTTCACACTCAGGGGCATGCACAACCCTGCATGTGAGGACAAAGGAGAACTCGGGGATGAACACACTTGCACACTAATAAAACCAGTTGCACTCTTTCCAGAACCCCCAAGGCAGGGGTCTGTACACTCCCCACCCGGTACCTGGGTGCAGGCTCTCAAGAGTTTCGCTCTTACCACCCACCTGCCTCCCTCCGCAGCTCAGTCCCCCAAGTTCCCAGTTCCCTGCAAAAGGCTGGAGGATCCACTACTGGCTGCTCACAGCCTCGGGGCAGGGGGCCTGCCAGGCTCAGGGCTCCCTCCGGCAGCCTCCTCTACGCTTGCTCACAGCACTGGCCTCGGCGCGCACGTACAGGAAGCAGCTACTCTGCGCTGGGGGGCCAACTTCAGACCTGGGGGAGAGGAGGGACGGGGTGGGCCCTTCTGCTTCGGGCCTCACACGCGTCCATCGGGGCCGTAGAGGCCGCTGACGGGCCTCAGGCCTTGGTGCCCCGTGGGAGGCTCTGCGGCGAGTGCAGCTCCACCGACTGCCGCCGCCGCACCTCGCGCTCCTCCCAGTCGGTGTCCGGCTCCAGGCCCTTCAGCACTGCCAGGCGCTCCGACAGGCTCTTGGCTGGCGGGAACAGCACGTAGTTGTAGAGGAGGGAGCCCAGGATGGCGCCCACCAGGGGTCCGATCCAGAAGACCTGGGGGCGAGCGGAGAGAGTGGCTTGGCACCCGAGCCTACACCGGCACGCGGAGCCCGCAGGCCCCGGTGGCACACTCTGCGGCCGCACCCCTCCTCCCCGCCATTAATCTAGTGAAATGCTTATTTATGTAATTAGCAACGACAACGCCAGCTGCTGGGGAAGCCTTATCAGTGCCAGGTTAAGGGTGCGAATTTTGAAGCCACTGCCTGTGTGTGAATCCTGATTCCACCACTTAGATGCTGTGTGCACTTCAACAAGTTACTTACCATCTCTGTGCCTTTCACTATAAGAATGCCTATCTCCTAGGGTGGTTGTGAAAACTGAATGAGTTAATGTTTGCAAGGCACTCAGAACAAGGCTCACCACATTCTAAGCACTAGATAAGTGCTAAATACTACCACTTGTAGAGTTCTAAGTGCCAGACACTGCATTATCTGGGTTACACCGGTAGCCTCAGTTACTGTTCCCAAGAAGCCAGTGAGGTAAGCTGTTGTCATCCTCATTCACAGTTGTGGAAACTGAGTCTTTGGCATCAGATCTGAGGGGTGGAACCCAAGGCTCCCCAGGACCAGGAGGAGTGTGGAGGGTTTGAGGTACCGCTGCTGAGCCCCAATCCCATGCTATTCCAGCTCTTGTTCTCCCTCTAAAATGGGTTTTTAGGGAAGGGGAGGGCAGTGGGTTTCAGCCATTACCCAGTGGTCATCAAATTTGCCAGTGACGACAGCTGGAGCCAGGGAGCGGGCGGGATTCATAGAGCAGCCGGTGTAGTGGATCTGCAGTTGGAGGAGGGTATCACAGAGAGAAGGCAGGTGAGGACAGGGCAGAAAGTCCTTGTCCCGCACTGCAGTGCTTGACCTCAGCCTAAAGGGAACCCACGTGATGGACAATTAACTTCACGTTTTATTTAAAGAGCTCTGTATTCTTTGGGGGCTGGAGTGATATCTGTCCCTCTGGGGTATCTGGGAGTCAAACCTCTGGGGTGTCTGTTCCTCTTGAGAGTTCTGTGTATGTGTCCCTCTTGGGGTCTCTGTGTCTGTCTCTGGAGTGGTCTGTGTGTCTGTTCCTCCAGGGAGGCTGGAACCTATGGCCATGACCTACCCCCAGGAGGTGGCCCAGGGCCACGGAGAAGCCTATGGAGAGAGCAGGGGTGCCCGGGTTCTCTCCACGGCGCTCATCGGTGGAGGCAAAGATGCAGAGCACCAGCTGCAGCGTCAGGAAGAGCTCCACAGTCACCGCCTGGCCAGCTGTCGTGCTGTTGCTGAGCTGGGGACAAAGAGGCAGGTAGGGGAACACTGAGCACACTCTCCTCTCTGGCTCCATCTTCCTGTCCACCTGCAGTCAAGGCACCAGGGGGGGCCTCTGGGCTGGGAACCAGAACACCTGGGCTTGCCAGACACCTTAGCTGGAACAACTGATCCCTTCTTCTTGGGCCCTGGCCCAAAGGCAGCCCATGATCCCCCAGGATGCCCGTGGTTTCCCTGCCAGAGGTAGGAAAACTGACTCTGTAGCCCATTAGATTGGGGGGTGAGGTTGGGATCCTTCAGTGTGAGAGAAAAAGGATGCTGAGATCCAGAATTTCTGTTTCCTGAAGAACAAGAACGGAAGAGGTTTCAACGGCCTCAGGAAGCTTTGGACTGGTTAGCAGGAAGACCTTCCCCTCTCTCTAGACCATCAGACCCTGGTGCAATGAGAGGCCCGTGGTCTGTCTTCCTGAGGTCAAATGGCTCCCAGGGACAGGACTTGGGTCTAGGGGATGGTCCTAGTGTGCCCCTTTCTGCTATGAGTCCGCCATACACCTTTTTCCTTAACCCTTGTCTATTCTCCACTGCCTTTCAGGCCTCAGCTTTGCCCTGTTGGTTTGCTCCCTGCACATCCTATGGAGGTTGGGGTGAGGGCCCCGGAGCTGTGTCGGACAATGCCTCCACACCCATGTAGGTTGCCCATGGTCTCAGCAGACCCTGCCTTGGGTAAGGAGAGAACTCGGGGCTGAGTAAAGAGGTGATTTCATAACTGGGCCACACCCAGCACTGGATTTCTCCTTGGGTTTTGTCACCCTGTGCCCTACGCCCTGCCTTCTGGGACTGGGCACCATGCTGGGTGGAACAGTGACAGCTCTCAGCTCCCACGCTCTTTCTCCAGGCCCTGAACCCCCACCCCTGGGTCCGAGACATCAGGTCAGAACCCTTGGGTCTCTCTAGGGTCTAACCTCAATCCCTCCTGTTGTTGTCCAATGCAGAGTCTCTAGAGGACAGTGAAAAGAGCTTTGGAAGCAGACACTTTAGAGGCCTCTGACTTGCCATGAGACTATTTAATTTGGCCTCAGTTTCTCCTTCTGCGAAATGGGAAAACAAAATGGATTCTGGAGGATGGTGGGAGGACTGGAAATGACTTATTGGTTCTGTGACTTGGATCAATTCACTATTGAGCCTCAATTTGCCACTCACAATAGGGGGGAACCACAGAATTTCCCTTATAGCATTGTACCAATGATGAGATGATAGCTGGCCTGGCACAGGGCAGGTGCATGTCAATGATTAAATTCCTGGTGGCCAGGCTAGCTCTTAGTGTCCTCAAAGGACACATGGGATGGTCTTGAGGATCATCTGGCTCTCTTTAGCCTCAGGGTAAGTTGGTCCCACCACTGCCCCATTACATCCAGGCAGGGTTCTCCCCAGGTCCTCAAGGTAGTAAATGCTGAGAAGTGGCATGGAGGAGTCCTCCCAGACCTTTCTCTTCTGAGGGCCCCAGTCAGTTGTGAAATGATGGAGGAGGAGGACTGCATGTTTCCCATGGCCTCTCACTCCCAGTGCCCTGCTATTACAGAAGAACTTCCTGGTCATGCTCTCAGGAAGTTCCTTTTTCAGTCTAACTGGACCTCTTCTTGCTGTAAACTGAACTAATTTTGTTCTCAGAGGAAAAGAGCCCACTCCTCTGCTTGCCCACCTAGCCTGTCCTTGGCCCCTGGCCCCCAACCTTGTCACAATTTCATCTTTAAAGAACAGAGCCTTGGTGTGGTGGCTCATACCTGTAATCCTAGCACTTTGGGAGGTGGAGACGGGTGGATCACTTGAGGTTAGGAGTTCGAAACCAGCCTTACCAACATGGTGAACCCTGTCTCTACTAAAAATACAAAAATTAGCTGGGTATGGTGGCACATGCCTGTAATCCCAGCTACTCGGGAGGCTGAGGCAAGCGAATGACTTGAGGTGGAGGTTGCAGTGAGCTGAGATTGTACCATTGTACTCCAGCCTGGGCAACAGAATGAGACTCCATCTCAAAAACAAAACAAAACAGAGAAGTTCCCTAACTGGGATACCCCTGTCCCACAAATGAGGAAGGGCTGCCTGTGCAGAGACGTGGGTGGCCACAGAGATTGTGCAGGACTTGTCAGAGACATCAGGACTCTTGTCCAGTGGCCCAGGGATGGAACAGGCCAGGAAATACTGGAGACTGAGGCACAAAAGAGGCACTTGCTGTCCTGGCTTAGGATGGGGGTACAGAGTGAGAGTTGGTCTGTTGGGAGCACAGGTCGTTCCTCCACACTCATGTCTCTTGGATTCACAGGGCCCACACAGACCTGAGAGGGGAAGGGGGTGGGACATGGGGGAAGGGACTGTGGCACCACCCTCAGCTCCCGAAGGGCCCACGGGGCCCAGTTAGCACCTGTATCATGTAATCAGCAGCCAGCTTATGGGCTCCGGGGACCTCGTCAGGGTTTGGAGAAGAAAGTATGCCCATTGCTGCTTGTAGGGCTATGGTGTGTCTGAGCCTGACCTGTAAGGAGCACCTGCCATAGGGCCTGCAAACCCTCAAAGCAGAAGAAAGGCTGGGCCCCTCTTCTCTCTTGAGGACCCTGTCATGAGCACTCCAAGGCTCCCCGCAGCTTGGAAAGCATGTCTGCTTGGGACACTAACCCCTGCTGAGTTACAGCCTGGTCCTCACTATAACGGAGGCACTGAGTCCAACAGAAACCCAGATGAGGCTTTTCCTGCACGACGGTCAGGGTGGAAGAAGCCTGCAGTCTGTCTGCATCCTGCCTTTGCTCTGGTACCATTGCTCCTTTCATCCTGACCCTCCTATGGTGGCTATGTTCCTGACTCCAGGCTCTGTCTCTCTCTGTCTGTCTGCCTCTGTCTCCATCTCTCTCCCCACCTCACCCAGAGCCCTTCCCTCCCATCTCATCCCTTACAAGGGATTCCCCAGGATCTGCCCCTTGTGGATGGCAAAGTTGTGGCTACTTACAGCATTGACAGCCAGGTCCCCGCGGATGTCTGCTGGCGTGATCTCATGGAGCAGAGCGGCTCCGGCCACAGCCCCCAGCAGCTGGGCAGCCACGTAGAAGGTGGCTCGGAGAAAGGAGACATGGCAGCCCACCAGGCAGGCCACAGTCACGGCTGGATTGATGTGGGCCCCGCTTATGTGGCCCAGAGCCTGTACCAGAGTGCCAATACCCAAGCCAAATGCCATGGCGATCTGTAGCACAGAGGGCAGGGCCTGTGGCCAGTTGAGGGCCGAGCCGAGGCCAAAGAAGACGAAGAGGAGTGTGGCCAGGAACTCTGCAAACACAGCCCTGGAGAAGGCTATGGAGCGGAGCTCCCACATGCTGCGGAGTCCTGCGTGGCTGGCCCGGCCGTCTCAGGGCCAGGAGGCTCTGGGCACTCTCTTTCGCTCTCTACCGCTCTCTTTCTCAAGGCCTCTGGGGAGGCTGGGTTGTGGGCATTTATAGGGTACTTCCATCCCGGATCTGGGCACGTGGTGGGGAGGTGGAGTCGTTGAGGCCAATACCTCTTCTCCATGGCGGCCTCTGCCCCCATGCCCCATCCCAGCCCACCCACGTGCCTATCACCCTATCTTAGCCTTCACAGCTGACTGATGTTCCCCATTTAATGAGCTCCAGATAAGGACTGACGTCCCTGGTTTTCCGTGTTTGTTCCCTTGGTTACCCCAGGGCTGCTGCCCCAGGGCCTCTCCCAGCCCCCACGGGGTCTTGTGAATGGGAACCTCTGGTGGGGATTGTGCCCAGTGCCCCTCTCTCTGACTCGAACTGTTGACCAAGGCAGGGGCAATACCTCACACAAAACTAAGAGTGTGTGAGTGCTGCTCCTTCTGGTAACTGGGAAGTTCTTCTGTCAGACCTCCAATTACTCCTGCTTCACAGGGATGGAAAACAACTGGTTGGCTTGTGACAGATTTCCAGGGCATAAAGGTTTGTGTCTTCTGCGTTTGCATTCTTGCAGCTAATCACCCATAAATCATTAAGCTTCACCTTCTCCTGGGAGCCCCAGCCAAATAGCAGCTCCTAGAGCCTGGGGGCACTGGGACCCTGGCCCTCGGTGATGGAGTCAACCTGGGGGCGGCTGAGGAAGCTGAGGGTGTCCATTCTGGCATCAGCCTGTTCCATCTATGTGACTTAACCTTTCTTGTCTTTCTCTGTAAAATGGGAAGAATAAAACTGACCTAGTGGATTGGGGTTTGGATTGAATGAAACAATGTATGTCAAGTGCTCAGAGCAGCGCCTGGTCCACAGTAGGTGGTCAATGAATATCAGCCCTTCCTTACAGTATTATTTACACTTTGAGGAGAACAGGTCTTTGCACACTCATGTGTTGGGGTCCCAGAAGCTGTGACAGGTCCTAGGAACCCCGAGGAGCTTAGGGCCACTCTGGCCACAGGAGAAAGACATTTCTGTGGGGCAGTGAGCTGTGCAGGCTCGGGGCGGCTATGATGGCTGATAAGCAGCTCTCTGGCCTTGGTGCCCACTCAGCCCAGCATCTGGGCAGTGCTGCCTCCTGCTATCAATGCCGCTGTGGCTACTGGGGTCCTGGAAGTGTTCAACTCTAGAAGTTTCCCCAGCCCCACTCACTGGCCCTTCCCTAATCCCTCCAGCCTCGCTCCCCCTCCTGGGGATTCACAGCAGGGTTGGGCTCAGAGTGGGGGCAGAAGGATGGGCTTCTGCACCCTGCCCTAGCTCCTGTCCAGCAGGTCCCTGGGCAAGTCACAGTCCCAGCAACAGAAATCTGGGAGAGATTGGAGACTGGAGTGGACCGCTTTATGTTGTATCATGGGGATGTGGGGTGAGTGTAGGCCCGGGGAGGGGAGTGACTCATCTAGGGTGCTCCAGCAGGTTAGTGGCTGAGCTGGGACTGAGCCTGGTCTGGAGCTTTCTGCCACACCCCACACTACCTAGCCACACTCTGTGCCTCAGTTGCCTTGTCTGGACAATGGGAGTGTAGATGCCTACCCCATAAAGTTGTTTTGAGAATGCAGTAAGATAATGAACGGGAAAGTATTTTGCAACTGAGAATGTATCATACACATATATATGGGGACTCATGACTCCTGCTATTGTGAAGGAGGAGGAGGAGAAAGGCAAAGAGGAAGGGGAGGAAGAAAGAATAAAAATTACCCATACAGAAGGGATGCTCCAAAAGAGCAGGGATTCCTGTGGGGTTTGTTCTCCAGTGTATTTCCAGTGCCTAGCGCCTGGCCTGACACATAGACACCTGGCACCCTAGCACTCTTCCCTCAGCCATCCCTCCCAACTTCAGGCATTCTGGGTCCTCTGGGAGAAGATTGAGGGAGAGGGGGACCCCTATCCCTGTCATATAAAGGGCATCTGGGACCCACCTCCAGACTCTGCACATGGGAAGAGACAAGGACTCAGAGGGGTCTGGCTTGGGTGTGCCTCTGCCCCCACCCAGGGAATATTCCTTCCCCACTGCTGCTACAATCTCCACCTCCCAGTTTCAACCAATTCTCTTGCCTCAGCCTCCTGAGTAGCTGGGATTACAGGCACACGCCACTATGCCCGGCTAATTTTTATATTTCTTTTGGTAGAGATGGGGTTTCACCATATGGGCCAGGCTGGTCTCCAACTCCTGACCTTGGGATCCACCCGCCTCGACCTCCCAAAGTGCTGGGATTACAGGCATGAGCCACTGCACCTGGCCTACTCCTTTCTTTTGTGGCTTCATGTATCACTTCTCCTGACCTTCGGACATACTGTCCACCCCAACTGGCCAAGTTCAGGACTGAGTCTCAGGGTCCCTGGAAAACCTCTTTGGGCCTCATGTGAACTGAAGCTGTGACAGTGGCTTCTAAATCCACACCCAACCATTTAGTTGCTGTGTGCTCTGGGATGGGCCCCACACCCTTTCTGGTCTCTCCTTCTTTTGTCAAGGTATTCACGATCTTGAGGAGTGGCCCACTGACCCTTGATTCTGGGAAGAACCGCCGCTAACCCGGTCGGGTGAAAATCTCTTGCTTCCCAATACACCAGGATAGGTATGACAGCTTCTCCTTGGAGCCCACAAAGCCCCAACCTGAATTTGCATATGTTTGTGGTGTGTGTGTTGTGTGGTTGTTCAGCCACACAATCATACATTTAGAACCTGATGGGATCTTGGAGATCATCTTGCCCATGGATTTTAGTTGCCGTGATAAGAACATGAATTCCAGAGAGAGTGTGACCTGCCGCACAGCTTACAATAGTAGTCAGGACTCACATTCTGATCTGGCCCCTAGTCTGGGAGGACAGGAAGGGGCCAACAGTGACCCAGCTCGTGCCTGTGTTTGCATTTGCCCTTCATGCCAGGGAGGAAGAAGGTGTTCCCATCAAAGCTGGTGGGGCTTGGCTGTGCTTCTGGCTGGCAGCTCTGCTCCCCTGAAGGGATGGCTGCATTTTTTCTAAAATGGCCACTATGCTGTGTCTTAGGAAATCTATTCATCTATCATGCACTATTAATTAGAACATGACAAAAATTGCTGATGAATTCACAGCAATGTGAATGTGCTTAATGCCACTGAACTGTGCACTTAAAAATGGTTAAGATGAGGGCCAGGCGCAGTGGCTCATGCCTATAATCCCAGCACTTTGGGAGGCTGAGGTGGGCAGATCACCTGAGGTCGGAAGTTTGAGACCAGCCTGACTAACATGGAGAAACCCCATCTCTACTAAAAATACAAAATTAGCCGGGTGTGGTGGCACATGCCTGTAATCCCAGCTACTCAGGAGGCTGAGGCAGGAGAATCACTTGAACCCAGGAGGCAGGAGTTGCAGTGATCCGAGGTCGTGCCATTGCACTCCAGCCTGGGCAACAAGAGTGAAAATTAGTGTCAAAAAAAGGTTAGATGTTTTTTTTTTTTTTTTTTTTTTTTTTTTTTTTTTTTTTTTTTTTTTTTAACATTTGTTGCCACGAGTGCGGCCATCCCCCCCCCCCCCCCCCCCCCCCCCCCCTACCGGCCAACAGAGTGATAAAAGGTCAAAAGGTTAAGATGGTAAATTTTATGTTATGCGTATTTTATAGGCTGGGCTTGGTGGCTCATGCCTGTAATCCCAGCACTTTGGAAGGCCAAGGTGGGCAGATCACTTGAGCCCAGGAGTTTGAGACCAGCCTGGCAACGTGGTGAAACTCTGTCTTTACAAAAAAATACTCACAAAAAGTTAGCTAGACATGGTGGTGTGCACCTGTAGTCCCGGCTGAGGTGGGAGGATTGCTTGAGCCTGGGAGGCAGAAATTGCAGTGAGCTGAGATTGCGCCACTGCACTCCAGCCTGGGCGGAAGGGTGAGACACTGTATCTCAAAAAACAAAAAACAAACAAACAAAAAAGATACTTTAGATTTATTTAGATATCAGTCTTTAAAGTCAAAATTGCTCTTTTGCATGCATAAAAGGAAATTATAGGTAAAACAAATTGGGCTAAAATAGTCTCCAAATTTCTTCACATTCAGAGTCCAATTTTCCTGAAACCCTCTTTGACTCAGAGTCCTTGATTTTCTGCATGGTATCACCTTCTGTGCCATCAGGAGCATTGGCAATGTTCCATTCTTTAAAAGATTGTCCACTATTGTTTCCAGCATTTATTTTCAAGCTTCAGCTACTCATTCTGCAAGCTTTATTGCTGGTATTTTCTAGCTTCATGTGTGACTAGCAATCATTTTGCCCTTTTCTCAGTAATAAAACAACACAACAGTTCCATTTATTTACGGGGCTCTTCCTTTCTTAGGTCTCATAAAACACTTGGCTGCTGTTTTGCAAGAAAATATGAAATTGTGGTCATTCTGCCATGATAACTGCTTCACTAATATCAAATTCTTGCTACACTCTTCTGTTTGCCCACCTTTCTGCATACACAATAACTGTTTAAATGCTAAACCACAGTGTAACCTTTTTGAAGACATTTTAAACAGCAATTAAGCTGAAGGCGCCGAACTCACCTGACCAAGTTTAGGTATGCGCAAGCAATGACGGCCACTCCCAGCTGCCACACGAGCAGAAGAGCTCTTATGATGAGAAACGAGATACACCTTAGAATTGGTGAAACATGGCAGTTACAAGATTAAACCCATATGCAATGCCCATTCTGCCATGCATTGTTCTAGACATTCTTGGATATATCAGCTCACTTAAACCCTCACAACCATCTTAGGAGCTAAATATTGTCATCCTGTTTTTTAAAGATGAGGAAAAGAGGCAGAGAGAGGTCAAGTAACTTTCCTGAGATTTCACAGCTAGTAAGTGGGAAGGCAGAATTAGAACTCCAGTAACCTGGCTTTGAGAGAACTTTTTTGATTGTAAAGGTGAGTCCCTAAGTCACTCCCTGAAATAATCAAGATGGGAACGCGGTGGGAAAGAGTGCTTAAGTTCTTTGAATAATAAAGACACGGATTAGGGTGTTGTTCGCTGGTGGCTTGAAAGAGGAGACGGGGGCGGTGGAAAAGAGGAGGTGGAAGGAGGGTGTCTGGGAGCTGGGCCTGGTTGAGCCGTGGCTGTGGCCGTGGCCGGTGAGGACGCCCCCTGCTGGAGCACTGTGATGGAATTCGGAGCAGCGCTGTCTGACAGTTGACATGAGGTGTGTTTCCTGCTCTGAGTCACAAATGCCCTCTACTCTCCCTGAAAGGTCGGTAAAAGTGGGTCACACAGCAGGCCTGTGAGTCTGGTGCTTTGGGGACTGAGGGAGAAGGGAACGGGTAGATCCACAGTCGGGACAAAGTGGGATGGAGTGAAGAGAGCAGTCCCTGGCTGCGGCTGGCAGGAGAGGAGGGTGGGAGTCGTGGCTGGGGCCTCAGACAGCCTCCGAAGGATGGAGGGCATTGGATCCTTGCAGCTCTGAGACACAGCGTGAGCCGTTTGATTTCTGTGTAGGGTTTCCAGATAAAATACAGGACATCCAGGTAAATTTGAATTTCAGATAAAAAACAAATGATTTTGTTAGTATAAGCATATTCCAAGCGATGTTTGGGACATACATACTAATACTAAAAACATATTCTTTCACTGGAGGTCTGCAGACATCTGGGTTACAAACTAAATCTTCACAAGGACTTTTGGGAATCAGTTCTATGAGACCTATTTTACACAGGAGGAAACTGAGGAACAAAGAGATGAGACAAGTTGCCCATCATCACAAGGCTAGTACGTGACAGAAACAAGCTATGAATATAGAAATTCAAGCCTTTTCTTGACAATAGGCTGACTTCCTCCTCCAAACCCTACCTCAAAGCCCAGGTGGTCGTGACGGTTGAGGCCCAGGGGGAGGCAGGGAAGGTCACAGGTCCAGGCTCCTGGGGAGACACAAAGACAGCTTCCTGCCATTTCCCTCCTGCCCATGGGGTGAGACCCAGGGATGAAGAAGATGGGATCTTGCTAACCTCCCATGGCTACCCATTGCCCTCGAGACAAAGCCAGACCTTGAACTTGGCATGTCCTCCTTCTAGCCCTTTCATCTCTGAGCCTGATACCTATTGTTTCTTCTCTTTGGAATCCGTGTCACCACCATTTCTCATGGCTAACTCTTCCTCAAACTCTAGGCCAGTGGCTTTGTGATTGAGACCTGCAGTGAGAAATACATTTAATATCCTAACTAATAAACATGATCTCTCAGACAGACAGATAGTTAGATAACTGAAACTAACATTTCACAAAACAGTATTTCCTAAATGTGATATTGTAAATTCCTCTCTATTTCACTAACAAGTAATTCAGGTCACAACTACTAAACTGATTGTAAGACCCACGAATGGGTTGCCACTCACAGTTTGAAAGACGCTGGTGGAGGTTCTGGCTGAAAACTTGCTTTTCCATTGGGAGAGGCTTCCTGTAGCCCGTAACACACAGTCCTGGGGGCGTCTGCCCAGGGTTTGCCTTTTGTGTTGCTCACAGATGTGACCCTCTGCTCAGCGTTGGGCTTCTCCTCTGGACTGTGAACTCCTAGAGGGCAGGGTCCATTTCTGGATTTGCTCACTATGGCACCGCAGTGCCTAGCACAGGCCCTGGCCCTTTAGAGGTGCTCAGTATATGTTTGTCAAGTGAATCAATGAGCAAACTGCCAGCCCTTATGCCCCCCTAAGCCCACTTGCACCCTGCCCCACACCTGCTGTGTTGCAGCCACGTGGTGGTCCTCAGGGACCTGGTTCAGGGGAGAGGTTGATTCTTGGAGCTTGGATGGAGAGAGGGAGCGTGTGCATGTGTGAATCGGTGGGATAAGGGGCCAGGAGCAAGTCTGCCCACATTTGACAAAGATTAGATGTGGGCGGCTAGGGTCAGGGAAGCCTTTCTAATTACACTGCTTTGTGAAATAGTGAATTCCTACCTGCTTGGAGGGTCCAAGCAGGCTGAGCAAAACGCCAGAAAAGCTTGGCAAGGGTTTGTGCACCAGGGAAAGGGTTGAATAAGCTGACTAATGGGGGTCCTGTCAGCTCTGCTGTGTGGAAGAGTACAGGCTGCAGGCTAATAAAGCTTCCTTATAGGAGGCAGCTGGGAGCCATTGTGGGCACTAGCAGGAGGGGAGAGCAGCTGGGAGGAGGAGTTGCAGGAGGGCATATCTCCTGACACTGCTCCTCCTCTGACCTCTGAATTCCTCCCAGTCCCTGGCTTCCTCCCCCATTACACCTGGAGGGGGCTCTCTGGGCTGCAGGCCCCAGAGCAATGGTGCCTCTGTAGCCTCCCAGCTCCCTGGGCTTCCATGCACACTGTGGGACTCCTTCTCTCAGGGCTGGGGGGCAGTGGAGAAGCTCTTACCAGCTGGTCCTGGAGAGCCGATGTCTGTTTCAGCCCTATAGGGAGAGGGAGGAGCTGTGACTGCCAGGGCCAGGCTGCACTGGGGTCATTACCAGAGAAGGGGGTGGAAATTAGTGATGCCCCGGGACCTTGCTCACAAGGGTCACCCAAACCTGTTTGACTCCCTGCTCAGAGGACCTGCGGCTGAACCGCCCTGGCTCTCCAGTGCCTGCCTCCAGCATTCAGGGACTCAAGTGACTGGGTGACCTGCAGGACCTGGCTCAGCATCTGCACAGGGCCGTGCTCTCTCCCACCCTGCCTCACACCCCCTCCTGCCCCTCCCTAGCCTCAGCCTCTGACAGCCCTGTGCCTATCCTTAAATCCTGCCCTGCCCTTCCTTTGCCACAGCTCTGAGTCAGGCTCACCTTTTTCTCTCAACGATGTGAGAAGTGGTTACAAACCCCATCACGTGAATTAGGGATAGGGAGTCTTAACGAGGTTAAGCTGCCCACCAAGTCCTGTGGCCCCGCCCTGCAGCCCCGTATTTCACCTCCATCATAGCACGGGTCACGCCACCCCAGATGATTTGCTGAAGCTCCGAGGACGAGAGCCAGATCGAATTCGCCTTTGTTGTCCCAACATTTCACACATGATTGGCATGGAGTAGACACTCCAAAAAATGTAAAATGAACGAAAGGTTTGTCCAAGATCAAACAGCTAGGAAGCAGCCAAGCTATAATTCAAACCCAGATCTTCCTGTATCTCAGCCCCACACCCTTCACCCTCCTCCAGGAAGCCTTCTCTGACTTACTCAGTCAAGGCAGCTTTCCCTTCCCCCAACCCCCTCAGAATCCTGGGCATTTGGATGTGTTCCTATCCCCCTCTCCCCTGCACTCTCTGAAGGCAGAAACTTGGGATAGGGTCTCAGCTTGGCTCTGATCCTGCTCCGCCCCCAGAACCAGGAGGAGCTCTATGAGTGTGGGATGCCTGGGCTGAGGGTGGAGGGCCCAGGAAGGAGGGCCTCAGCCAAACCAGTGGTGTCTTCCTGCCTGGGATCACCCACCCTGCCTCATCGTCCCTGCTCATTGGGCCAGGGGCCAGGCTTCCACCTGGGACTGGGCCTGCCAGCTTCTCACAAGGGCCAGCCCAGGCCTTGGTATTCTCTGGGGTGGGTCCAGGTGGGGCATCTAATCCTCTGCTCATTTTGCTGCAATTCAATATCAGCCTCCAATTTGCACGCTCTGCTGCCATCCTTCCTTCCTCCTCTGGCTGCACTGTGTATTTTCCACGGCTCTTCTGAAGGCCTCTTGGGTACCCTTGGGCTGACCTCACCCCCAGGCCTTCTCAAGGCTGGGTGTTGGCCTTGGGATGGAGGGACCACCATCCCCACGGCGGGAGCAAGGCCTGCGTGACCAGCAGCCTGGGGGTGGATTCAGGTTCCACTGTCTAGGCTGCCTGGCTGTGGAATCCACAGCCATCCAGGCTCTCAGAGCTTCCGTATAAACATATGTAAAATTACCTGCACATGGCAGGTGTTCAAAGAATAGGGGTTGAGGCTTCCCCAAGGGCTGAGGGCCCCATATCTCTGGGAAGTCCTTTACCATGTCTAACCATGCACCTCTGGCTACAAAATCGGCCCATTCTCCTCTGGTTCTACTTGATGGATGTCTGTTTTCTTGAGATTTTAGCACACTTGAGGCAGTTCATTGTATTTATTTATTCATGCAACAAATATTTATTGAGCACCAGCCATGTGCTGACTGCCAACCATATGCCATTCACTGTTCTAAAATCGAAATATGTCAGGAATTGAAACTGACAAAGATCCCTGGCCTGGTGGGGCTTACAGTACAAAGGAGTTTATTCAGTCTATGGGGCAGTTTACTGGATGATGGCCCGTCTCAGCTTGTTCTCCTCCACTTTAAAGAACCTGAAGAAAAAAAGATGAAAAGAAATTGTAAATATTGAAAAATAACAGTGTGAACTCTCAGACGTCATCTTTACCCCTGTCTTACCACCGCTGCTTGAATTTAAGAAATGCAATTAGAAGTATGGGCTATTACTTAAAAAGTTAAACACAGAGTTAACATGTGATCCCACAATCCCACTCCTAGAATCAAAATCAGGTGTTCAAACAGTAACTTGTACACACATGTTCGTAGCAACATTATTCACAATAGCCAAAATGTAGAAATGATTTAAATGTCCATCAATACATAAATGGATAAACAAATTGTACTATAGCCACACCATGAAATATTATTCGTTCATAAAAAGGAAGGAAATACTGATGCTTGCTACAACACAAATGAACCTGAAAAACATTATATGGGTTTTTTTTGGTTTTTTGTGGTTTTTTTGAGACGGAGTTTCGCTCTTGTTGCCCAGGCTGGAGTGCAATGGTATGATCAGGGTAGGGGTCACCACTCTTCACCCTTATTTTCTAGAGCTCCACCAGCCCAGAGCACATGCTCAATAACCGTTTCCTTTAACCAAACCCTCTGTCGCACCTGTCACATTGTTCCAAAATTGTTGCTCTTTCAAGAAGCCTACCCAGATGGACTAGCGGGCAAAAATTTCTTCCTCCCAAGGTGACACCACTGGCCTCACCCCTCAATCCACTTTACATCTCACTGTGCAAAGACCCACCACCTGCCTTGAAGACAGTGAAAATGGATCAGATGCTGGATTGATGGGCTGTTCGTCTTTGGACATTCAGTTATCTGCCCCGGGCATGTCTAAATATCCAACTGAGGCTTCTAGGTGTCTTGATATCAAGTTCCAAATTCTCAGCAGACTCATTGCATGCCCCCCCTGCCCACCTCATCACTCTAGGGAATTTCTGGCTACTTCATTCCTCCAGAGGTGACCTCTTGGGTCCCCTGCACACCCTCATACTGCCCAGAATGCTGCATGGAGACTGTCCCAGCTGCGACATCCCTGCCTGGGACACCCTCATTCCATAGAGCTCTGGCCCCTTCCTCTGCATCCATCCATGAGTTCCCTTCTCCAAGAAGAAATATTTTTTTTTTTTTGAGATAGAGTCTCGCTCTGTTGTCCAGGTTGGAGTACAGTGGGGTGATCTCAGCTCACTGCAACCTCTGCCTCCTGGGTTCAAGTGATTCTCCTGCCTCAGCCTCCTGAGTAGCTGGGATTACAGACGCATGCCACCATGCCCGGCTAATTTTTGTATTTTTAGTAGAGATGGGGTTTCGCCATGTTGGCCAAGCAGGTCTCGAACTCCTGACCTTAGGTGATCTGCCTGCCTCGGCCTCCCAAAATGCTGGGATTACAAGTGTGAGCCACCACGCCTGGCTGAGAAGCTCTCCTTGACCAAGTCCTTTCCCCCTAAGCTTTCTCCCTCCCTGTTCTCAGCTCTAGTCAGATTCTGACTTATTCTGGGTGTGGTTCTGGCTCCCAATCAGGGGATTTAACATCCTCAAGCAGACTTCACCCTATCCTAGGATCATGGACAGAAATGGAAACAGGACTAGAAAGCAGAGAACTCTCGGGGGTGCACAGAGGGGAGTGAGGCCCTGGAGCCTGAACTCTGGGCAGCCAGGACTGCAGGAGGAGGAGTCCCTGGGGGCCAGGTCACATTCCTATAGAGCCCCCCGAGGTTCTCTCCCTGGACTGGAGGGAGCTTCATGGAGCTGTAGGGAGCAGTGGTCAAGTGTTCTACTGACTCAAGTTCCATCAGCAGTTTCCCAATAGTCCCCCGGAGCAACACGAGACAGCCCTGGGTCCTCTGGGACTCCAGCAATGGGCTGGGCAGGGGGCCTGCTGGGGTGAAGGGCATAGGATGGGGTTGAGGGTCTAGATTAAGGGAGGGGTTTCACACCCCACAACTCTGCAGTCAATTTCAAAGAGAGCTGGGTTACCCCAGACCTTTGACTTATCAGAACTGGAAGGAAAGTTAGTGATTGTCTGTCTTTTCAGTGGTTCCTGGGCCCAGGGCCCAGGGCCCAGGGCTGCACAATAGTTTAAGTGTTCTCAAACTATTTGCTATATTTCACTGGGTACACTAGGCTCTGAATACTTCCCTGATATGAGGCTACAGTCAAGTAACTCAGCCAGAAAGAGCCTCTGCTTTTGACTGGAATTCTGTCCACCCAGGGGCACCGCTTGCTATCTGCTGCAAATCTGAGTCTGCTCCATGAGTCCTTCTCCTAGTTAATAAGAAATGGGGAAACAAATTAATCTTCACTTTGTTCCATCAGAAACTTTTCTTTCTTTCTTTCTTTCTTTCTTTCTTTCTTTCTTTCTTTCTTTCTTTCTTTCTTTTTTCTTTCTTTCTTTCCTTCCTTCCTTTCTCTCTCTCTCTTTCTTTCTTTCTTCTTTCTTTTCTTTCTCTTTCTTTCTTTCTTTTTTTTTTTTTGAAATCTTGGTTCACCACAACCTCTGCCTCCCAGGTTAAAACGATTCTCCTGCCTCAGTCTCCTGAGTAGCTGGAATTACAGGCATGCACCACCATGCCTGGCTGAGTTTTGTAGTTTTAGTAGAGACAGGGTTTCACCATGTTGGCCAGGCTGGTCTCGAACTACTGACCTCATGATCTGCCCATCTTGGCCTCCCAAAGTGCCGGGGTTACAGGCGTGAGCCACCGCGCCTGGCCTAGAAACATTTTTCAAAGCATGACATCCACAGCAGCAATGGAGGTGGGGATAGATAAAAGACAGTGTCTCTTCTGGTGAAAAGGTAGGAACTGATTCACCCCAACCCTGCAGGGGATGTAGCCGGGGTCCAGAGAGGGAAAGAGGTTTTCCCAAGGCTGCACAGCAAACCATGGATACATATCAAATGTGAGCACAAGTCCCTGACTCCTGGACCAGAGCACTTTCTACCAGGCCACCTGCCTTCCCCACTCTCCCAGGGACCACAGAGACCCTCATACATGTGATTTACTCCATTCTACATTTGTAGTTTCCTATTCCTCATGAGAGCGGTCTTTCAATATCCCCTTGCCTTCTCTCTCCAGAGTTTTTGACCACCTGTTTGTTCAAGAGTAAGTGCCAAAAGAGTCCATACTATATGATTCCATTTGTATAAAGTACAAAACCAGAAGAAATTGATCTGTGCTGTTACAAGCCAGGACAGTGGTCACCCTTGGAGAAGGTGGCACCGGGAGGGGGAAGGAGAGTGTGGGTGTTGGCCATGCTCTGTTTCTGGACCAGGGTTCTGGTTACACAGATGTGTTCAGTGGGTGGAAATGCATCAGGTTGCACACTAATGACATGTGCATTTTAAAGTACGTTTGTATACTTCAATTAAAATTTTTAAAAAGTTAAATTTAAATGATCAATAAATACACATCTTAAATGATGGAAGACAGCAGCTTGGGCCTGTTTCTAAGCAATGTGTTGACTATTGGACAGAATTACACCACCATCAGCCATCCACAGTGCCGTGGAGGCCCTCCCTCCCCACAGCTGCAGCTTGGCCGGTCAGTCAAAGGCCCCAGCACAGGGAGGTGGAAAATTCTGCATCTTGCAATACCCAAGCCTTATCAGGACCAGTAATCTCTGGCCCAGTCACACGGAGCCTCCTGGGATTTGAGCCGCAGTTGCAGTGAGTAAGGACCCTGAGGGGAATGTCCAATCTGGTGACAGGGAGAAGGCCTGCACTGGTAGTAAGGCAGGCAAGAGACAGCAGATATTAAATGCCCTCCTGGGCAAAGGACAGCTGCAACCCAGGGCCTGGTGGACCTTGGAACTGTGAGCTGACTCAGGTGGACACAATGACATCTTTCAGACAGTTTCGTCCTGGCCCAGTTCTTGGGTGAAGAATGCAGCTGAGTGTATGAGTGTGTATTGGTATATGTGCCTGTGAACATGCCTTCATTCTAGCTGTTCCTTCTGCCTGGAACACTTTATCCAACTGCCTGAAACCCTCTAGCCTTGTCTCTACCTGGTCAAATCCTAGGCATGCTTCAAGGCTCAGTTCAAATGTGTGATGTGGCCTGAGGCCTGACACCTCCTTGCCTCCCAGGCAGAATGAATCCTTTACTCCTCCTCTGGACCCACCATATGACCTAGCACTCGCCCCACCAATCAGAATAGTAGGGTGTGCTGCCTCCAATTCTGGACTGTGCCGTCCCTGAGGACAGGGGTTATGACACTCCAGCTCTCTTGTCGGGCTTGTTTAAGGGAATATATAAGTGCATATATCTCTGGGAGCATATATTAGAATCAATTAGGACTATCCCTCTAAACAAAGAAAATCATTAGCAGATTAATTAAGAGTCCTGTTCAGAGTGCTAATTCAAAGGCTAAATATCTTTTAACTTAAGCAGGATCCAATGTTTGATAAGACCTGTTACTGGGTTACAGTATTGATTGAGGCTGAGCCTTGGCTGTGGAATGCCTGAGTATGCAATTCACACATAATTCCTCAAGTGATTTGGGCACATTTTTCTCTTATTGACGAGCATTATAATGACTATAATAAACCAAAGAAACCTCCGGTGAAACAACACATGACTATGCTTGTCAATAAAGGTGTAACCATTAGTTTAATGAATGCATTTCCCAAGTGCTTCTTTGTTAAGGATGTTTGCCTAGGTTCTGACCAGAATAGAAATGGTGTGAATGACGCAATAGCATTCATTTAGTTATCCACTCATTCATTTATTTACCAAATCCTCAGCCCCACCATAGTCCTAGGCTCCATGCCAGGGGCCATAGGAAATTCTTTCTTTCTTTCTTTCTTTCTTTCTTTCTTTCTTTCTTTCTTTCTTTCTTTCTTTCTTTCTTTCTTTCTTTCTTTCTCTTTCTTTCTTTCTTTCTTTCTCTCTCTCTTTCTTTTCTTTCTTTCTTTCTTTTCTTTCTTTCTTTCTTTCTCCTCCCTCCCTCCCTCCCTCCCTCCCTCCCTCCCTCCCTCCCTTCCTTCCTTCCTTCCTTCCTTCCTTCCTTCCTTCCTTCCTTCCTTTCT